ACACTCGCCTAAATTTTGCCGTAAAGTCCACTTATGACTAATGTTCACATTTTGTTATGCTTATTAGCGATGAAAGGACAAAAGGGTCACAATGGGATGGGTCTCAGACAACATTTTAATAAATCTTCAAAATTCAAACTAGAGAAATATACATTTATAGTTCATTATCCAGGTGTAACTTTGAATGTATAATACAGACTTTCCTATTTAATCACAGAAATTGTACCTCTGTTAAAGCAAAAAAATTGTATGCTTATTTTGACAAGATATACCTGGAGTTAATTCTGATGAGATTAAGTGAGTTTAGCAAGGTTAAATCACTACATTTGAACACCTGACAACAATTTTACTTAATTATTAGAACAATTTCTGAGGATTCCTAAAAATGAATACAAATGTGGAGTCTTAGTATGTTGCTTTAAAAAACTGTTTTTTATGATAATGAAATTATTACACAGAAAATGCTAGATTCAAAATTTTTGAAAGAAGGGGAGACCATATAAAAAGCAAAAACAACAAAAATCCCTGGAATTGATCTGTGTGGCTTCTTACAACAAATTCCTTCAAACAAATATTTTCATAAATTTACTGAATTGTTGATCAATACAACTAGCAGGTTACTTTTGTTTGTTAGTTTGAATGGGTTTTACATCACAACAACACAGTCAGGTTTCAGCTTAACTGGTAGAGTAAAACCACTGGTGCCCTTCTGTACATTATTTCAGGCACGAACGGGCACCTGAGTAGAACCACCTACATTCCATAAGCTTGCTGGATAGCTTCCTCACATGAAAGAATCCTTGTCAGAATTTGAACCCACAGCAGTGAGGGGCAAGTGGTTTGAAGTTAATAACTTTAACCACTCAGCCACAGACACCCTGGCAAACTTTGTGATTGAAAAATTATGATTTAATTTCTACAAACAATAGTACCAAATTAACTTTCTAGTAATTGTTACAACAGTATCTGCGACATTTGGCAACAGATTAAAATATCAGTACAATATAATTGATTTTTTTCTGAGTTAGAATGTTTATGTCTAATGTATTTGTAATGATGCAGACAGAGCTGTGTAACATAACGTTTGTTCCCCACTATTATAGGGCGATAATTCACTACATTTTTCCTTACATCTCTGGCAAAACAACAAACTTACACCTGAAAAAAATCTTCTACCAATTTGCAATAGGTAATGTTAGTGCAAGAGTTACAGTGACTTCAAAAGAACTCATTTACCAGCATTTTAATGTAAACTGGTGTTATATTATGTCACAATTATGTCATCACCTTAGAAAGTGAAAGAACATACGCTTCTGTTTGATAAAAATACTATAATTTCTCTAAAATCTGGAGGAAATAATTCTGTATTAGTTAACCTGTCAAAAGCAACAACCACTGTACCAAAACATGTTTCAATATTTTGAAATATTAGCACTATCAGTAGTATAAAAATTTCTCTAGGGGAACAACTTCTCTACAACAAACACAATTCATGTCAATATACTTGATATATAAGTGATTTAGAAGTAGTAGTATAAACTTTCTGTTGTAACAACCTCTATTAAACAATAACATTTTAATATTCCCAGTGATATAAAGTATCCATACTATATGAAATAATTCAGTTATTGTTAATAAACATGAAAGCCACGGTGGCCTTAAGTTGCTATTCCAACAGGGATGGGATACTTTTATTTCTGTAGAACTGTATTTTTTAGTTAAATTTCAGCATATTTTACAAGTTTTCTAAAGAACTGTTACTTTTAAAGTAAAGGCAAACACTTCTATATTAAATGAGTTGTGGACAAGATTTACACAATAGACAAATGCAAATTATAATAGAGTTTGATAAAATGCTGCAGTAAATTGATGGGTATTTTGTAATAATATTGAAATAAAACATTTATATTTTCAACACATCATAAATCATGGTACTTGAAAATTCCATCTAAAGAACTAAACAGCTGATTCTCTTTATGAAATGATTACTCTATTACATTAACAAAGAGCTGATCAATTATGCATTACAGAAGATATGTACATATTCCATACTTAATGAGGGTCCATCCTTCCACAGTAAGGTATAAAGAGTACAGACCCTGGACATGATGTCATCTCTAATGTATCTAAAACGTTTATTTTGAAGCACAAAGTATTGATAATTTACCTGTGTGCAATTTCAACAAAGTATTTGACAAAGAAATTGATTTTTAGCTAAAAAGTAGATCACTGTACAGCTGTCAATAAAGGCTTGCCTTTTAGGCCGTCTCTTAGTATTAGAGCTCATGCACCCTAGTTCCCTCCATTGTCACTCCATTCACTTCACAGAAAGTTTTTATTTAGTGTTAAACTAAATTGTTTCTGGTCATATGAAAGATATAAACTGTATCTTAACAAGTTATGGAGAGTGTTGTCTGACATTCAACTAAGAGTTTTTTTAACTTGTGAGTAAAATTTCAGAACATTGGTTCACTCCGCTTTTCCAAAATTATTATTTCGACAGTGAAAATATACAAAATGAAATACCCACAAATGAACAGCTTTTGAATGCTTTTAACTCACATTTGACTGAGAATAGCACAAAAATACAATTTTTATTTAAATTCTGAGTATACACTATATGCCCTAATTGATCCATGCAATAAATTAAAATTTTATGTTTTTAGGCTTTTAAACATCAGCGGAGTTTCTTAAAATATTTTTTTGGAGAAAGTCCGTCTGAAATAGGTTTGACTTCCTGTAAAATTTACAGGGATTAGAACTGAACCTTAGAAGGATTTTCATTCGACATTTTAAAATTGCCAACTGAAATCCTGGAATCTCATTAGCCAATCTACAATTAGTATATAATCTAAAGGATCTTTCTGAAACATTAATTCTGTAGTAAATATCTTATTCAACATAAGAAGTTACCAAGTTATAAATGACATTCTAAAATGACGAAACGACCAATAATGTCCACGATCCTAGAAAAAACTTGTGCATACCAAAAGACACCATGCATGCAAGTCAAAGCAGTTTTACTTCATCCAAGTATCTTTTTAAAAGATACTTCTTGTTAACTGTCACTTACCTCAGTGAGGTAGACGCCACATGTGAGCTTGCTGAAAGGTCATGACCTCTGTCCTCTGGGTCACTGAAGTAGACTGGTGCACTCAAAAGTGGAGAAGAAGCTCTGGAACCTCACATTTATTCATTGGGACCAGTCTTCTCTATCTGTAATACATGTAATAGGGAAACAAGTAAAATGGTTTCCTGCGGTGAACATTTTAATGATATAAAGATATTTCATTTAACTATTTTCAACATTATTTGGGGGGGGGGGGGGGGGAGGATAAATAAACGTTTGTATCAAGAATATAGTTGACAATAATCGATCAATATAGAAGAAGGTCTTTGGAAACTGGTGACCGTTGAAGACCGGAGAAGGTCGAGCATAAAACGAGTATTTCTTTTTAAGAAAATGATTAAATATGCCTACCATTTTATGAATAATTCCGAGCAAAAAAAAAATGTAAACACACAAGTTTACGCAGAAAATGTCTCTATTTATTATGGCAGATGCCAATACGAATATTTTAATTTTGTATATTTTTAGTTTAAACAATTTATTGTTTGTAAAATTTGAGATAGATATTAAAGAAATATTGATAATTTTCAAACACATCATTCAAGTTTTTCCACCTTAAACGGTAAAATAATTATAGAAAATTAGAAGTATCACGTAATAGTTTTTTTGCTGTCAGTTAGGTATGATTCGGACTAATTCCCTACAGGTAAATCCGTAACGTACCGGCAAACGGTATTTAGCTGGGTTTTCGAAAAGGTCAATTAACCAATCATATACGGTTTACAGATCACATGCTCCTCCATGTACCGAAAACAGGTCACGTGCTCCTCCATGCCTCAAAAGTTAAACGCGTACCAATACCCTGCGGTCTCAAGACCGCAGGGAATAATTACCATAAATACAAGTAAAATTAATTTGTCAGTATATAAGGAAAAATATTTTGAATTTATATTTCTAATAATTAAGCCATACTGCACAGATTACATCAAACAAGTTGGTGAAGATAGATTTAGTTTTTGAGAAGAAATTATTGGAACAATTATTTCTATTCTCAGTCTGATTGATGGTTCTTGAAAGACCAGAAATCCAAATTTTATAACAATGAAGAAATACAACTTGGAGAACATAAGTTATAATGAAAACAATAAGTGTTAAGTGAGAATCATTTATTATCAATAAGGTGACCAATTTTATTCAATACAAAAACATTAATAAGGGTTTTGTACTTCACCAACTTCTATATATCAAATATAAGAATAAGATCACTCCCAATAAGACCATGAACCTTGATCAAGCCCCCCTCCAAACGATAAAGTCTGCATTTCCCCCCAAATCATCATATTTTTTAAAATTTCCCCTAAAAATGAATGGTTTTGTCCGATTGAAAATGAAAACCCATTTAATACAGCATAATGTTTTATTTTTATGTATTTAGCATGGAAAGGGGTTAAAGGGAAAAAGGAAAAAATTTAAACATAGTATCAAAAATATTTTACTTTATCACAATATCTTACTGTACACAATATCTTACCATATCACAATATCTTTACTGTATCACAATATCTTACTGTATCACAATATCTTACTACATCACAATATCTTACTGTATCATAATATCTTACTGTATCACAATATCTTACCATAACACAATATCTTACTGTATCACATATCTTACCTTATTACTTTTTATATCTTACTGTATCACATATATCTTACCATATCACAATATCTTACTGTATCACAATATCTTACCATATCACAATATCTTACCATATCACAATATCTTACTGTATCACAATATCTTACTACATCACAATATCTTACTGTATCACAATATCTTACTACATCACAATATCTTACCATATCACAAATATCTTACTGTATCACAATATCTTACCATATCACACAATATCTTACCATATCACAATATCTTACTGTATCACAATATCTTACTGTATCACAATATCTTACTACATCACAATATCTTACCTTATCACAATATCTTACTGTATCACAATATCTTACCATATCACAATATCTTACCATATCACAATATCTTACTACATCACAATATCTTACTGTATCATAATATCTTACTGTATCACACAATATCTTACCATATCACAATATCTCTTACTGTATCACAATATCTTACCATATCATAATATCTTACTAGTATCACAATATCTTACCATATCACAATATCTTTACTGTATCACAATATCTTACTACATCACAATATCTTACTGTATCATAATATCTTACTGTATCACAATATCTTACTACATCACAATATCTTACTGTATCATAATATCTTACTGTATATCACAATATCTTACCATATCACAATATCTTACTGTATCACAATATCTTACTGTATCACAATATCTTACTACATCACAATATCCTTACTGTATCACAATATCTTACTGTATCACAATATCTTACCATAAACACAATATCTTACTGTATCACAATATTTACTACATCACAATATCTTACTGTATCACAATATCTTACTACATCACAATATCTTACCATATCACAATATCTTACTGTATCACAATATCTTACCATATCACAATATCTTACCATATCACAATATCTTACTGTATCACAATATCTTACTGTATCACAATATCTTACTACATCACAATATCTTACCTTATCACAATATCTTACTGTATCAGCAATATCTTACCATATCACAATATCTTAACCATATCACAATATCTTTACTTACATCACAATATCTTACTGTATCATAATATTCTTACTGTATCACAATATCTTACCATAAAAATCACAATATCTTACTGTATCACAATATCTTACCATATTCATAATATCTTACTGTAATCACAAATATCTTACCATATCACAATATCTTACTGTATCACAAATATCTTACTACATCACAATATCTTACTGTATCATAATATCTTACTGTAATCACAATATCTTACTACATCACAGATATCTTACATGTATCATAATATCTTACTGTATCACAATATCTTACCATATCACAAGTTATCTTACTGTATCACAATATCTTACCATATCACAATATCTTACTGTATCACAATATTTACCATATCACAATATCTTACTGTATCATAATATCTTCAACATCTTTCTGTATCAAAATTATCACAATATCTTACAATATCTTACTGTATCACAATATCTTACAACATCTTTCTGTATCACAATTATCATATTATCTTACAATATCTTACTGTATCACAATATCTTACTGTATCACAATATCTTACTGTATTACAATATCTTACTGCATCACAATATCTTACAATATTTTACGAATATCACAATATGTTACTGTATCACAATATCTAACAATATTTTTTATTGTATCATAATATTTTACTGTATCACAATTTCTACTGTATCACAATATTTACTGTATCACAATATCTTACCGTATTAAAACTCCAGTAGAATTTTTTCTCTTGATCTTGCAGATTATCAGCATATAAAAAATTTCCCTTTCAATAACAGCAGCTACTCCATACTTTCACACTGCAATCTATCATAAAAGCAGCAAATTCAAACAGTGAAGTGAATTGTTTTTATACAGATTATACTGATGAAAAAAGAAAAACGAAAAAAAAAACATTTTGGCATTTGTTCTTATAAAGACAGCTGCCAAATTTCTGTGGCACTTTTTAGTGTTAACAAAGAACATTGGTTTTCAATCTTATGCATAAATGCTGAAATATAGCTCAATTAAAATCATTATCTTTGTTTATTGAGAATTTTTTTCTTCTTCTCTTCTTATATTGCCTAATGAAAAAAACTGTGAAACTATTTTTCTGGCATGGCAAATAGAGACTTATGTTTTTTAATTTGCAATCTCATCGACATTTAAGCTGAGGGAAAATTCTATCAAAAAAAGTTATAACTTTAATCAAAATGAGAAACTTTTGCAAGATATTGGCTTATGTGAGTTTTATAAATCTATAAAATTCAGACACATAAATACTCAAGAACAATATATATATATGAATAAGTTTTGGTTTAAGGCAGGCCATGAAGTAAACAAACTCATATATAGCAAGTGAAAATATCAAAACTGCCAGTATTTCTTTAACTTTTTATTACTTTTTCTATTTATTTACATTTTTTGTTTTTGTTTTAAGTTTGCAAGTTGACAATTAATTGAAATGAGGGTCATGGTTGCAACTAAGACTGCCCACTTGAGATCTATTGCTAGACTAAAAATGTATCCATAAGACAAGATGCTCCCATATTCCACTGTTACCAGTATGTCTACTGATGGACAGGCATGACAGACAAATGGACAAGGTCAAATCAATATGCCCCTCACGGTCAAATTATATGAACCAACCCTCTAAATGGGGGGTGGGGGGGGGGGGGGAAAAACAGTACAAATTCTTTCAATCGTAAGTAAGATTTTTTGGGTGTTCAGTTTTCACCAAAGCTTGATGATTGAATGTCGCTAGAAACCCTTATATGCCCAAATATGTATCCAGGCTTTTGGCATTGTAGCTTTTTTCAAAATTTAAATATATTTATTACAAAACAAGTGCCCCTTGGCAGAGCCAATTTTTGATCCAAGAGATATGACTTACTATCCTTGTTCAGACATGTTTATCTTATATCGTTATGTTAACATCTGTTCCACAATGGTGGAGCATATTAAAAACCAAAACTCTAGGCATTGTAGTTTCCCTGGGAATTAAAGTAGCATGCCTCAAGATTCATGCTATATTTGTGAACATTTTTGAAAAAAAAAAAAGTATTTTAAAAAGTAAAATATTGTGAGTGAACAAAAAAAATATCAGCATTAATTAAAAATAAAATTTTCAAAGATAAAATATGCAAAAATATCCTACTGTATAGTTGCACAAATTGAAAATGGGAGATAATTACTTCAAAAAACTACATAAATGGAAACTATTCTTGAATTTTTAAAAACTTTTTTCTTTTTTAAAATTTTTAGCATTTTTACTCAAAATTTAATTTCTTACATAAGTGGTTCATTTTTGGAGGCTAGAAACTTAAATTTTGTTCCAAAAAATATAAATTAAGTACCCAATGGCCACTAAATTTTTACGCAAGGGACAAAATGTATTAAAAATTTGTAAAGGACCAAATGCCAAAAATTATTAAGGGCTAGAAGGTTTTTAAGAAATTATTTTAAAATAAAAACCCATTAAAGTAAGTGACCATTTTTCCTACATATTAAAATCAAGCCCAAATTTTCCTGCATGATTTATAGGGCAGCAGTCAATGTTTTCCTAGGGCATGATTTATAGGGCAAAGCCAATGTTTTCCTGAGCATGATTTATAAGGCAAAGGCCAATTTTGGACAAAACATTTTTTCCTGATTTTTGACATGATATTTTTAGGCAAAGCAAAGTAATTTCTGGTGATTTAAGGGCCATGTTTTCCCGGAATTTATAAGGGGACAAAGCCAATATTTTCCGATTTTTTGGCATGAGTTTTATAGGTAGCAAAGCGCCAATGTTTTCCCTGGCATGATTGTATAGGAAAACGAAATGTTTTCCTACATGATTTAAAACAAGCCAAATTCTCCCGCATGATTTAAAAAAAAAGCCCAAAATTTTCCCGGGTATTATAGGGAAGCCAATGTTTCCTGGAGATTTTATGGCAAAACAATGTTTTTTGGGATGATTTTTCATATACTTGTTTTGAATCCTTTAGGAAATTGCTACTTCCAAAAATTTTTAGATCTAGTACCTAGGGGATTAAACTTTTACACAAGCCGGGGAAATAACTTCATAAAGAATCATTTTTTGTTTCTCTCTAGGGTTGGGGGGCAATTTTCACATTTATAAAACCCTTTTTGTTAGGACCCCAAGGGGATGCTACATCCCAATATCAAAATTTAGGCATTGTGCCCCTGAAAAAATTTTTTTTAAAGTTTATATTTGTTTTTGACCCTAAAACAACCTGACAAAAAATAAAATTTTGTAGAACCAATAAGTATTTTTGTGAAATTTTGGTTTAAAATTATCGAGCAGTTTAGGAGATGTTGTATTTAAAGGTTGTTTTGCCATTTTCATTACAAAAATTCAAAAACAGAAGTTCGTCCCTTATACATTTTTTGGTTTTTCTTTTCTGTTTTTGGGAAAAAATAGTTCCTGGTTGGGGTCTTATTAAAACTTAATTAATTTTTAATGAATTTATAAATTTCCTTATATCTGAAGGTAAGGAAATAAAAATAGGTTTAAATTCCCCCTTTATCTTAAACATTAGTCAAATTGGAGGGTTTGTAATCATTTTTTTAAAAACAATGTATTTTTAAATAACAAAAAAGGTTGAATTAAAATTAATTTAAAAATGAAAAACTATTAATAAAAAATTTTTTGAGATTTGAATGTAGTTGAAACTGACATATGTTTGTTCACATATAGCATGATTTTTCATGCATTGTGCACCAGGAAAGATTAGCAAGATCAGCAAATTTTTAAAGTTTAATGCATTTCAATAGAAAAATACTAAAATTGCACTGCCAGCAGTATAGAGCCTGGTCAGACACATACGCAGGCTGGCCTGGTGAAAGACTAATCGATTTATGTTCCGGTAAATTAAGCATTAATCAGTTATTAAACAGAGAAATGTGAGATTTTGTTGAGGTATGTAACAACCTGCTATATGTTTACATCTTATATAACAAGTATTGATATCAAGACAAACAACGGGTTTTTTTCCCAGGTAAAATGTGATATCAATCAGCCTGCATGTTGTTAATCTTGACTTTGATGGTTCTAATTTGATATGTAAACATTGCCAGAGATAAGTTGGCATCTTCCCTCACTCCCTATCTTTCATTATCTGAGATTTTAAATGAAATTTATCATACACTCCTATAAAAAGATTTAATTGTTTTAAAGTTTTCAGGTTGAAATAACAGGCCCAATTTTTTTTTTTTTTTCTTTAGTTTAATGGGTTTTTTTTAAAAAATAAAAATTGAGAAAAAAAACGGAAATCCTTTTCCCTTTTTAAATTTCATTTTAAAAATTTTATGTTTTGGCAATTCATACCCGTTTTATTTTAAAATTCTTAAATGTTTATATTTGTTTCTGTGAAAAATTCGCACAAGCTGTTTTATAAAATTTTTTTTAATGCGTTTATTTAAGGTCGCCCCCAAAAGCCAATTGGGCGACATCATCAAGGCGGACCATCCTAGAGGCCCCCCCAAATTTTTTTCCAGCTTTTTTGGGGGGAGAAGACCCCCGGGGCCCTCCAGGCATTTATAGGGACGAGCGGGACCCTTGGAGAAACTACCCTTCTGTAACCAGGGATGGTTTCCCCAATGAAAAATTTCGACCCCCGGGGAGGATCACCTCAGTGGTGAGGGGGGTTTATCTCAAGTCAGAACCAACCCCTCGCCTGGGGCCGATATAAACTTTTAAAAATTTTAACAATTTTCAAGGAATTTTTCTGCTTTAAATCTAACCCCCATACATAGCTTAATCCTTACACCCCTTTAAAACTGAAATTTAAAATTTTTCATCTTTAATCTGGAAAAACATTTTCCAGTTGGAAAATAAAAAATGCCAACATACGACAATATACTAGGGATAGTGACTTTTGAGGGTAGAAACAGTTTTGGGGCAGAAGCTAAGGGGTTAAAGAATTCATACAATCAATAAAGAAAGTCATATAGAAACTTAGTGCTTAATTTCCTTATATTCATACAAAGGA